GTTGCCTGTTAGCCACTTCCTCAGCCTCCAGCTGAATATCTGGCTTTGACTTTTTTTAAAAAAGATTTTATGTATTTATTTTAGAGAGAGAAAACACAAGTGAGAGAGCAAGTAGCAGGGGTGGTGGCTTAAGGGGGGAAGGGGCAGAAGGCGAAGGAGAAGCAGACTTCTCACTGAGCGGGGAGTGCAATATAGGTCTTGATCTCCGCACCCTGAGATCATGACCTGAGCCAAAGTCACTTAACTGGCTGAGCCACCCAGGCGCCCTTGGCTTTGATTTTCTAAGTTGACTGACTTTGGCTTAGGAAGCATTTGGCGTTTTTCATGGTGGAGAGATTCACTTAGCGCACTTTATAACGAACTACTATAAAGCCAAGCTTCAGCAAGTTCACAAATTATGGATTTCATTAGCCTAAATAAAATCAGATTGTTCCCCCTAGCATATTAGAGGCTGGCACAACATCAGTAAAATTGTTATTCTGAAGAACCATGTGGGCAGCAGGTGAGATCTTTAGTATTACAAGCCAATAATAAAAGTTGGACAAGTTAAAAATATAAGCTCAAAATGTAAACTTACATTCATTTGAAAACTTTCTGCCGTTCACACTTGGGTTGTAAAATGGCCATAACCACATTCTTGCCTCCAGTCAAGGCCCAGGGATGGGGACCATGTTCTTGATGGTTTAAAGCAACTTTTTAAAATGTCCTAATGATTTAAGTTAATGTTTACATATACATAAGAGCCATGGGGAAGACAAATTATTACTGCCTCTGTAGAGTCTATCCATATCAAAATCTGTTTTCCAGAAGCCTGTGCTGACATCATTTGATGATATCACTCCAGAGTCTAGCTCTTTTTTAATTTTTAATTTTGTAAAGATTTCATTTATTTATTTGACAGAGAAAGAGAGCAAGCATAAGCATGGGGAGCCACAGGGGGAGCGGCAGAGGGAGGGGGAGAAGCAGACTCTCTGCTGAGAAGGGAGACAACATGGGACTCAATCCTGGGACCCTGGGATTATCACCTGAGCCGAAGGCAGATGCTTAACCGACTGAGCCACCGAGGCACCTCATCTTTTTTAAGAAACAACTAGCAGGAAAAGAGATGTATCCACATTAACATGTGATCCAGGAAGAGTCACTTTTCAGAATTGTTCATTGAAACCATCCTTACTTTTACATGATGGGTAGAAAAGGTGTAAGATAGGTATTTCAGACTTGCCGCTATTTATCTTACATGTTCATTTTCAAGTTAGGACATTTTTCAGATAGAGGGCATAAAGGGCCAAAGGAAAATTTTGATTCAGATAGAACGACTTTGTATTTTAAACCACTATCCGCTCGAGGAAGCAGCGGTAGAGCATTGCATGAGAAACTGTGAGTCCATTGATGAAAGCCTTATTCTTTTATTTTTTTTAAAGCTTTTTATTTTATTTGTTTATTTGACAGAGAGACACAGCGGCAGAGGGAACACAAGCAGGGAGAGTGGGTGAGGGAGAAAAAGGCTTCCCGCTGAGCAGGAGCCCGATGTAGGGCTTGATCCCAGGACTCCAGGACCATGACCTGAGCTGAAGGCAGACACTCAGCAACTGAGCCACCGAGGCGCCTCATTAAAGCTTTAATCTTAACCAAATATATCCTCTTGCTCCATATAGGAGAAATAAAGTAGAAAAATTACGGAAGAGTCTGGAAACTTTCTCCATTGCTTATGCTTTGAGCGCAGTCATGTATTTACGTTGGGTACATGACGTGGATTGCACATTTGGGAATGGGCTCAAGAAGATTCAAAGCACTTGGGCAAAACGGAGGTCACTTTGTCACCATCCATGGTCTGTATATATAACCTCCCAATCTGGAAAGTGTTTACATATACATAAGTGTCTAATAAAAGGGGAGGGGGGAAATTACATAAGAATGGAGTGGAAGAGCAAGGGGGAAGATGTGAGCATAGTTAGCTCAGACCCATGTTTTCATGCAACAATCTAAAAATAAAGCACTGGAAACAGATCTGCCAGCGGCGTTACCAAAGATCACACTGGCTGCGGAGGCAAGATTGTAATCACAGACAGATGATTAGGAAATATTTTGTGAGGTTATCGTCTCTAATTTCTTTAAGGTTTGTACTTTGTAACACATGCTCACAATATTTAGGCAAAAAGTGAAATTAAAGAATAATAAAGCAATTAGAAAATAAAGTGAATGAAAGCCAGATCCCCTTATGAAAGGGGAATTAAGTCCATATCCCCCAACCCCAGATCTTAAATTTCTCCGATTTGGCTATATGCAATGCAGAAAGACAAATTAAACAGGCAGTGTCTGACTGAGGGATAGATCGTAGAGAATTCTAAAGAAGGAAATAGAGCTGGCTCAACCAAGACATTAAAGGGAAGCCAGGCCATAGTCATGGAGCAAAGATTAAGGTTTGATTTTTCACATAGAAGCCTACATTTCGGGGTACCTGGGTGGGTGGGTTAAAGCCTCTGCCTTCGGCTCAGGTCATGATCCCAGAGTCCTGGGATCGAGCCCCACATCAGGCTCTCTGCTCAGCAGGGAGCCTGCTTCCTCCTCTCTCTCTCTGCCTGTCTCTCTGCCTACTTGTGATCTCTGTCTGTCAAATAAATAAATAAATAAATAAATCTTAAAAAAAAAAAAAAGCCTATATTTCTCCTTCACCATTCCCTTGTAAAACTGTATCCAATCTTGCACTGTTAAGAAAAGTTCTGACCGTACTTGTACAGTTTTAATAAAACATTTGTTCTCATCAGCACCTGTCTTCCTACCTCTCAGACTCCCAGGTCGGCCGGTGTCAACCCTTGGCTTAGGAATTCAGGAGGGCCAGGAAAGGTGATGCTGGAAGGTTCTACATTCCAGACCAGCTGCCATGAGAGTCAGTGCAGCCCCAAAGAAGTTGCATTTACTGCCACGGTGATACTCTTACAGAGAAACCTCCCCAGGGCTATCAACCTGTGAGAGCGGTTCACTGCAGGACTGAAGGAAGAAACAGCCCTTCCCTCAAGAACTCTGTAATCCCTTCCTGAGAAGATCAGGATTTAGGGCTCGTAATCTTATGGACAGATGATGATCAGGGTGTTGCTTCCCCAGTCCAAAACGAACCAGCCTTTGCCTACCCAGGGATTTAGAACCTTTCTTTTGGAAGTTCCATAACTCTGAATAATGGTGACTGATTACTGGTGTACTTTTGAAATCATCCCTGCTCAATTACAATCCTCTTAAGGATTTGGTTCAATTCTTCTTCGCTTCCATTGCACATTCTGAACGTTGCTTTGGGCAGCTCTTGTGTTTCTCCCACTGACCCCCTCATGCACCGATAGAGATAGGTAAGAAATACTGATTAGGGATCTATATTCAGCTGGTTATTATCAGTTTAATAGGTACGAATGAGAGATAGGTGAAAACATACTCCCAAGGGCCAGAAGCTCAGTTGGAATATGTGTTTTAAAAAGCTTTTCGGATATACCAGGTCTTCTAGAGAAGCACGCCAGAGAGTCACACCTCATTGTTCGCCTGCCCTACATACAAGAGATGGAGACTGGGGATCTGAATCTCTTGCATGAGACAAAGCAGAGACCCCTGAAGCAGAGAAGGGACTCCATCTTGAAGCTAAAGAAGTCTAATTAATAACGTGTAAATTATTATCAGTGATGCCGTTGGATGGTTATTCATGTTAAGGGTTTATGTGTTTGTGTCTTTTTTTTTTTTTTTTTTCCTTAGAGGGTAAGAAGAGTGTCAGGTAAGAAAATTAAGGTCACGATTAATACCTAGGAATTGAAATTTAACTACTGATTTCTATTTTCACTGCTGCAATATATTGACTTATACAATGACATCTTTGCTTTGAAGTTACTTTAACTTTCCAAAGAAAACACAGCAGCTAGAAATCTACCCCTTGTGAAATGTTCTCTGCCTACTACTAGGAATGTGAAAAAGAAGCTTTAGTTTCTCTTTAAAAATTATGGTTTTAGGTTAAAAGTTAAATCCGTTTAATAAAAATACAGCAAAAAAAAGTATCAAACCATACTTTCCTCCCAAAAGGATGATGCGAAAGGTGATACACACATTTAAAACGAAATGAGCTAGTTAACTAAAAAGCAAAAACAGAAGTGTACGTGGGTGTAAATAACAGCTGGTATCTATAACCTACCCAATCTGGTCCCTGAAATAACCCCATGAAATCGGCACCATTGTTCCTGTATTTCAGATATGAAAACAAGCTTCAAGAGTTTAAATAATAAGACCAATAATAAGACTGGTAGAAAGTACTCAAGCAAGAATTGAGCCCAGATGTGTCTGATTCCAATGTCTAATTCTAAGTACTAAAGTACTCATATACTTAGGAACCTGGGTCATCACCTGGAAAACACATATCTTAACTGGCGGGATATTTTTCAACAATGGGCCTGGTCCTAAAATTCTAATTTTAAGATTTAGGTGTGTTTCTTATGACACACAAACAGGTGACATATGAAGACAAGCCCTGTTGATTGCTGGTCTTGGTTTCTCTGTCTTTGCTATTAAAAAGGAGATAGGACTGTTTATCATGAACTATTGTTCCCCTTTGACAGGAGCTCTGATCACTCACAATGGAATAAACATGACAAATTTCTGTGCAAACTGATTAGCCCTGGATGAGTCGGTAGAGCCTCAGTAACTTTTAAGAGGGGGCATTCCTGCATTGCATAATCAACTGTGACAAATTCCATCTAAGAGTCATTGCTGGAAGCTTAAGAAGACAGGAGCAGTAGCAAATTTCTCTTAAACTCTTCAATGACACTGTCAAAAAGGAAACGTCTACTGGGTGCCTGATTTGCCATCCTCCTTCTTAACTAGTTAACCCTGAGAGTGCAAATATAAACAAATGTAATCCCCAACAGAACGTCTGAACCTGAAGAAATCTGGGATTAATTGCCAAGTATTTGGGTTCCTGTTGCAGCTGTTATGAGTGTTTGATTTGGCGAGGGAAGGGAAAAGGCGCTGCATACCAATTTCGTGAGCCACGGTGAATGCCGCATGGAGGCCATCATCTTCAATCACAGCACAGCTGCGCTCTGGAGAACATATGGTCCCGACGTCTGCCATTCCCAGGGTGTCACATGAATGATGCCCACATAAATCCTGCCCCGGAGAAAGAAAGAAATCATTAAAATCAATTGCCATCCAGAAGGAGCCACCTTGTAGAGCCTCTTGCTCACTCCAGACAGCAAGAGTGGGATATGTTTATGGTATCACCTGTTCAGCTCTGGAAATGTTCCAATGACAAACGAACGGCATCGGCTCTTCCCAGCTTCTCTGGGCCCCAGAGGCACAGAAGGATGATGGGACTCAATTACATTTAAAAAGATGTCCTAAGATTGTGGTTTGTCCCTTGCAACAGCCGCGGTACTTTCCCAAAGCTCTGGAGCATATAGTCAGGCACATTTGTCTGGGATCACTTTCACACAGAGTCAGGCTTACTAAAGCCCTACTCTTCTGGCTTAAATTCATGCTAAATTTATCAGAAGCATGTCCTAATAATTTATCTTCTATCACTGGGGCAAACTGCAACCACCTATTTGTGGCAAAATGTCAGTGTGTCAGTAATTCAAATGGGAAATTAAATTGTAATCCAAGAGCATAATTCCTCGGAAGAGCATCTCCTGATTTCCAAATGGAGCTGCAACATCATGGGTTGGGACTTCAAAAATGTACACAGTCGTACTCATAGCATTTCATGTAGATTGAAGATATAGATTTCATGTAGATTTCTCAATCTGATCAATCTTCAGAAAATATATGTAATATATTATGTTTATACAAGTGAGTGTGTGCATTTTTTCCTAGTGAGAAGTTGTATAGCTCTTAATAGATTCTCAAAGGAAAACATGATCACACCCCCTTAAAATGATCATTAAAAATGATCAAATTGGTTGAAGGAGACATCAGAAGACAACTTTAAGAGAAAATATAAACCAAAATTGTTGACATGATAGATCTGTAATAAGCTTCCGTTTAAATGCTATTTGAGCTTTAAAAAACATTAGAACCTCTTGTGCTTGACTACTGTTTTCAATGAAAATTAATTAACATTATGTACATTTACATCCACAAAAGCAAGACAATATCCTAGTAAGCCATGAGTGAATAATCATAGAAGGAAAGGATTTTTTTTAAATCAATTATTATGAAAGATGACTATTTACCAGTTGCAATAATAAGTGTTGTTTCTATTACAGCTACCATGTTTGCATTCCCAACCATCACCACGTCTGGCTTATGCTACAAACTCAACCAACATTTGCTTACTTGAGGTAAATTGTGACATACAGCCAGATGCAATGCAGAGCTCACACACCTTGATATGCAACATGCTAGCAAGATCTCAACAGATCCTGGAAGTCAGTATAAGATATTATTACTACATAACCAAAGTCATCTACTCAATGTCAATATACTCTTCTAAATCTTCCCTATGTTCCTGCACACAAATCCAGCCAAGGTAAAGAATATCTAAAAGATATACCCTATTATCTTCTTTCTAGTACATTTTCAGGTCCTTATTGTGTTCCATATATTATGAGATCCCAGCTGTGATGAATTACATTGCTGTCACCATATTATTATAGCTTCAGACAGTGGAAATTTAGACCAAGTAGTCTTGGTGAATCAAGTCCCCAAACCAGCGAGAGCCTCCCCAACTTTCCTGTGTATCCTCATATGTCATCCCGTGGGATCTCAAATTACAGCTGTTGAGAACAAATTAGTAGTTCTTAAAATTGAAATTGGAACACACTTTTGCATAATAATCAGTCTTTGAGATAATAATATAGTACAATACATTTTTAATCCTGTTTTTCTCCAATCATTTCAGTAACTTTAAGACGAAAGACTTAGTTGTTATTGCTCGACACCATGGATTATTTCTGCACACATTTAAAAAAAATAAGATTTATGTTTATTTTCACAAATTGAAGTTCATTATATCTAAATAATAAAATGCAAGAATTGTTTTCCCTTCTTATTCCACATGTCATGAATAAGCTCAGATGAAGAACCACAGTGAATGGAAATGGCCCTCGTCAATAGAGTTTAAACTGGATTCTTCATAGCTCTCTGTTTGCTGTAGCAATTGCTCATTAGAGGCTATCAACTCTCCTTGTTATCCTTGAATTGCATTAAGTGCATTTGGATCTTTGCCATAGAAATGTGTGCCTGTGACAAAATTATCAACAGAAACTTTTTTTTTTTTTTAAACCACACTGATTAAACCCCTTGATGACACGGCCATACTCTATATATTTTTGTAACTATAATTATGTAAACTAGTAACCTCTCAATCTCATTCAAACAATTTCAAACCTTGACACCCGTTATGGTTTCATTCCCAAGACTTGAAATGAAGGCCTGTGTTTTTTTGCTATCCAATGTTCATTCCAATGTATTAAACCTCAGCTTGTGCATCAAATTTATTAAGAATACAGCACATCACACTGATGTCTGTTGACTGGTGGAGATTTATAACAACATTTACAGTTGCAAACCTTATTTGAAATTTGTAGGATTTTTTTTTTTTTTAATTCAGAACAGGAGTAAGGATACTAAAGGGGCAATAGCATCTATCTATCTATCTATCTATCCATCTACCATCCATCCATCCATCCATCTTATGGATCTAGAGGCAGGGGATACTGGAAAAATGTGAATCGCATACACTGTCCACATAAAAGGTAATTAAATTACAAGTGCTGACCAGAGTTTTTCTGCTTGGTCAGTTTAGATCTGAAGGTAAGCTACATTTTTGTTATGCTAAAGGTGGTTCTTTTCATACAAGAGCAATTTCTTAACACTATGGTGTAGATAACAATGCAAAGAAAGATTTAGTGAAATGGAAGGGTTGCTAAAGTATGCAGAGGCTTACTAGGTGGACTTGTGATGTTGGCCAGGAATACGACTGGAACATTGTATGTAACTCAAAAATACAGCAGAGGTGGTCAGCAAGACCAATGAAGACTTGACAAGGACATCTCTGACATGGTGGCCTTTCACCAGGTGTGGCCATTTAGAGGACTATGAATGTGTCAATATCTTTGATTTATTGTGGAATTTAGAAGGCCTAGTAGCATCCTTTGGATGGAGAAGGGGGCAGGGTCAGGGATCCAGTGAAGTATGCTACCTTGAGAAGCAGATGCCCAGAAGATAGTTCAATTTAACAAATCCCAATGGTTGGTACTGGGTTGGGAAAATGGACCAAACAGACATGAGAATGTACAAAGTGGAATGAGTAAGAGAAGCTACAGGATTTCTAGCCTTGACTGGGAGGCTGGTCTTTCAAGCAGCATACACATGCTGAGGGAAAGAGCCAAAAGAAACACCAGGGGAGAAAAGCAGATGTCATCTTAATTGCAGCAATGGAAGCCCAAATTAACCAAGAATACTTGTACAATGAAATCTGGAGTTAAATAATAGCAATTTCTTTTTCTATAGATATTATGATCTTGTAAGCATGGTAAAGCATGAAGCTCAAGAGAAGGACACAGAAGAGGGTTTAACTAGCCTTAGATGACTGTCTCTCTTCCCAATTCCTATGAAGAGGGATTAGTAATAGAAGAATTAATCTGATGTCGTACATATTTAAATTACATGTATTATACAAACATACACTGGCTCAGTTGGTTAAGCATCTGCCTTCTGCTAAGGTCATGATCCTGGAGTCCCGGGACTGAGCCATGTACAGGGCTCCCTGCTCAGCTGGCAGTCTACTTCTTCCCCTGCCTCTCACTCTGCTTCTGCTCTCTCTCTCTCATCCTCTCTCTCTCTGTCTCAAATAAGTAAATAAAATCTTTTTAAAAAATTGGGATTGCATAAAAATATTAAAAACAAACAAAAAATACATACACTTACATGCCATAATTTACATTTATACTGTGCATCCAATTCTTGAGGTGACATCTGTCTTTTGGAATACCTATACAACAACCCCCAATAGTAGAGGTTTTGATTTAGATCTCAAGAGAAACTACATTAATTGGGCCTGGTAGTTAGTCTGACTATTATAATGACCCATGTTACACAATCTCTAACGCTTATGGGTACAACTAGGTAATATCAAACATACAGAGCCCAACTGGATTAGGGACCAAGGGGTCCAGATTCACTTATCCCTAACACAATTACCATGTGCCCACAATCTGCTGACACTGTGATAAATAAATATGATCTGATCTTGACCTTAAGAGACATCACAGTCTAGTGAGCAGAACAGATATGCCAAGAGGAAAGCAGATTATGACATGCTATGATGAAGAGATTTTTGAGGGGATGCAGAAGGGAACTGACATGCTCTCCTGGAGTGAATCAATAAAAGTGTCTCAAAAGAGTAACTAGATACTGAAGGAGGAATAGAAATCTGACAGTCTTAAAGGAAGGGTATCCTATGTAGGAAAGACCGGTCAATACATCAGGGGATGGTAAAAGGCAGGCTCTATTTGGCGAAATGACAGGAAGTTTGTCATGACTGGAGAATTGGGTGGAAGCCAATCAGGGGAAGCTGGAAAGACAGTCTGGGCCCAGAGATCCAACATGGGACATTTTGTCTGTAAATGTGAAGGAAGACAAAAGGAAGACAGAGGCAGCAAGTTACGGACTGAGGGGAAGAGATGCTTGGAAGAGTCATTTTGAGAGAATGGGAATGGAAGCTGATTAAACACAGTGAATAAAAAGTAGATTACTTTTTTTTTTTTAAAGTAGATCACTTTTCAATTCTAATGCTATTAGTAAGACTCATTACCTAAGATGTTTATATGCTTTGAGACAAAGTTCCTTCATCATTAACATAAGGAATTTGGACCAGGTGATCTCTACATCTTTCTAGTTCTCCCTGTGTTGGTATTAAATGAAAACACTCCAATTTATAGGTAGAGAAATAAGAGCTCAGGGCTTGCAAAGCTCCAAAGTTGCAAACTTGAGACTGGTGAAGTCAAAATTCAAACCTATAGCTTAACATCCCAATTCCTGAACCACCCTCACTAGGTTACTGGTAAATCATCACACATGTCTTTCTTGACATTACTGTTATCTTTTACATTTATAACCTGTGCCTGGTCAAATAAATTCTTTTCCTGTGACAAATACTATGGCAT